CACTGGCCGATTCCCACCAAGGCAGGGTGGCCCAAAAAAGAAAAACTTTCACCATCATTCACTCCATCACTGTCTTGCCAGAAGGGTGCTTTACACTACAGTTTTTAAACTGCAACATTAACACCCCTCCTTCAGAGTGCAGGCACTGTACTTCCCATCTCCAGGACTCAAGTCCAGCCTGCCGGTTTCCCTGAACCCCTTCATAAATGTTACTTTGCTCACACTCCAACAGCACGTCAAGTATTAAAAAACCATTTGTCTCCATTCACTCCTATCAAACACGCTCACGCACGCCTGCTGGAAGTCCAAGCCCCTCGCACACAAAACCTCCTTTACCCCCTCCCTCCAACCTTTCCTAGGCCGACCCCTACCCCGCCTTCCTCCCACTACAGACTGATACACTCTTGAAGTCATTCTGTTTCGCTCCATTCTCTCTACATGTCCGAACCACCTCAACAACCCTTCCTCAGCCTCTGGGCAACAGTTTTGGTAATCCCGCACCTCCTCCTAACTTCCAAACTACAAATTCTCTGCATTATATTCACACCACACATTGCCCTCAGACATGACATCTCCACTGCCTCCAGCCTTCTCGCTGCAACATTCATCACCCATGCTTCACACCCATATAAGAGCGTTGGTAAAACTATACTCTCATAAAATTCCCCTCTTTGCCTCCAAGGACAAAGTTCTTTGTCTCCACAGACTCCTAAGTGCACCGCTCACCCTTTTCCCCTCATCAGTTCTATGATTCACCTCATCCTTCATAGACCCATCCGTTTGAACTGACTGAACATCTTCTGGAGTGAAAAAATATCTTTAAACCCGGGGGTCCATGTACGTGGACCCCCGCAAACGTCACCCCCAAAGGAAACCAATTATGTTTGCGTGATTTTTTTGGGGGTCTAAAAAGGACTAACTTTTTTAAAAATTTTTCCTTAGGGAACAAATTCGGTCAGTACTGCACCTGAACATACTTTGGAATGAAATAATATGTAAACCGGGGGGTCCACTGTATACTTCCCTCCCCCAAAAATTTCCCAAAAAAACATTTTTTTTCAAGTTCACTTCTGAAATACAAATTGATGTTTATTTACTCTACATTTGGTTCTCATATATGTTACAGGGAAAGAGTGTAGAGTTAATGTGGTTTTTAGGGGTGAGGTGGAGGCGTGGCTCGTGTAGTTTTTTTTTTTTTTTTTAAAACAATTTGGCCTTTCCCCCCCCGAAGGCAGGGTGACCCAAAACAGAAAGAAAATCCCCAAAAAGAAAATGCTTTCATCATCATTAAAACACTTTACCTCATAACATAATCACTGTTTTTGCAAGGTGCTCAGAAACAACAATTTAGAAGCATTACGTAAAAAAGATACAAAACATATCCTCCAAACTGGGATGCGAATTTCAGATTTGTTTGTTGTATTGGTTATTTCAGGCACTGCAGTCAAAAAAAAGTGCTCAACCCACAAGGGTCATACAGACTCCGGATGGATGTATAAGACATGCCAATCAGGGGACCAGCGAGGGGGGAAAAGGAATCGGAGGCAATTTTAGTAAGGGCAGGAAGAGGGGTGGGGAAAAGCATAAAAAAATTTGGGTTAAATAAAAAGCTATTGTGACAAAAAGTAAAAAGAGGGAGTCTGTGTCAAAGGTGGGCCATCAGCGGGGGTATCTTTACTGCATTTGGCCTGTTGTACCCTGCAATATTGGCTTCTTTGGCTTTTCTTTTCAAAACCCAAAAATCTGCATTTTTGCTCCAGATTTCATTTTTCTTAAATTATATGGCTGGTGGATCTCCACCTAAAAGTTTGGGGGTTTTTTTTTGTATAAAATGTGCACCAAAAAAGTATTTAAAATTGACATTTCAATATGGGATTCACCCCTTTCTTTTTTGCAATCTCCAACATCACTATTTCCCCCTGGGTTCCCAGGTTTTATCTAAAGTGATGAGATTAATGCCAAAAATATAAAAAATAATTTTTGTAAATGCACGAAAGATACAGACACTCCTTGAATGCAACTTTTTACTGCTGGATACAGAACTTCTCCAGACTTTGACCTTTCACCCAAAAACCCGGTTCAGACTTAAAAATTTTTCATGTAAATTAAAAAGTAGCATTTTACTGAAACAGTGTTAACCTTCCAGATTTTCGCGCCTTTTAATTCTATCCCGCTAGACTGTATTGGGCAAAGTTTCGCTCTCCGGAGCTTTGTCAAAAACCGTTACGCTCCTGGAGAGCGAAACGTTTTTCCACAATAAAATGTCCATTGTTCACAAGCAGCTGTGGGGCCAAGTTTCTCCCCCAGCAAATCCATTAAACATGCCCTCATCATGGAAAAATTTATGTTGATTTCCTCTTGATTTTCATGGTCATTTTTTTTTAAGAGAAACAAATATTTACTCTAGGATTCTGGATGCTTTATTATAAAATCAAAACCAAGCCTCAAAACCCCTTTTTGGGCGTGTCTTTTGCCTTATTTTTCGTGTTCAAATTTTCACAACCTTCACAATCCCTTTTCCTGGAGTGGGTTTCGGGGGTCATCGCCCTCACGGCACAGTCTGAGATCAGGCCTCATCTCACTTATTAGTCAAATAAATTCATTTAATCATTAACCCAATTTGTCATGGCCCTCGAGTCTCTCTGAGTTCATCCTCTGATATTATCTCTTAATTTGCTCTGCTTTTTTTTTCATTCCATGTATTTTTCTCTTCCTATGGAGGAGGGTTTTTTGGTGTTTACATTATCTCCTTCCACGATCTTGTGGCATGATGTACACAAATGGTTCCAAATAGAGCAGTCCCAGAGCATTTTCTAGTCTACTTCATTCATCGTTCTTTCAAAGTGCAATACAAACTATCCAGAAAGTGACCCCCCCTGCATCTTTCCCATTGAGTCAGGGATGGGAAAAATTTCCCCCCCCTAATTATACAGTGGGCCCCCCCCCTTTTAAAGATCACCCCAAATGCGACCAATTATGTAAGTGTATTTTTGTAAGTGCTTTGAAAATGTATGTTTGGGGGTCTGAAAAAAGGACTAATATTCAAAAATTCCTTATGGGGAAAAATTCGGTCATTTCTGGCACCTGAAATCTTCTGGGAAAGAAAAATATCTTAACCGGGGTCCACTGATATCAGTCACATGCTTGAACATAAATACCCTCGATAAAGATGCCGGCCCCCTTTGTTGGACTGTAGGTAGCTTTTAAAAGTTTTAAAAATTAGGTATTTAATCGACTATCCCATCAGGACAGCAAATTTAACTTTCCATCTTCAAACGCCCTGACACTGCAAAATTCCTCCTTTCCATGCAACACAGTTTCTATTCTTTTTAACAAATAACCTGTTGCCCAACTAGATGTAAAAAAATTTTAATGGGGAGTGCAAACCTGTAGGATTATCAAACATGTGGAGGGAAATGGAAAGTATTAGGCAACTGGAGCACGGGCACAGATCCAATTTTCCTAGATCAAGAGCCCCTGCCCTGAAAAGGGAAATTCCTTGGGGGTATCTTTAAAAATATTTAAGTAAAACATTTAATACAGCTTAGAAATATACACTTTTAATTGTATAATTGCCACTCATTCCATGCACCTGCAGTTTTTATATTAAAAGAATATTTTCTTAAATGGTAATGTGCTTCAGAACATTATAATATTCTTAAGAAACTATAAATGGAATGTTGTCTAGTCCTAAAACATGTGTAAACTAAGTGGTCCCCCTCAAGGGAGGCTCCTTGATGCTGATAAGAGGCTACTGATTCAAGGAATTGAACCTGATCTCCCTTTCCTTGCATCAGACTTGATTGTCTCTGATTTCCTCAGATGCTGGATTATAGGTTTAGCATTTTCCCCATAAATATTATACAGAATGTCAAAAGAAAGGTTCCATTTTCTAACTTGTTAGAGGAAAGTCAAAATTGGTACCACATCAACTCGTTAATTTGTATAATGTTCCTGAGAAACTGCATGACCCATATCGGTCAATAACTCAAAGCTACCAGTGATCTTGGATGCATTTAAAGTTTTGTAGGCAGAAAAAGATAATTTGTAAAATTGGAAGGCCATTAACTGTGGAAAGAAGAGTTGGTGTGCTTCCCATAATGCCAGATATCAAGATACTTAACAAGACAGTTCCTTTACACTTGTTAGCTGTATAGTCCTTGTGGCTTAGCGCTTCTTTTTGATTATAATAATAATAATAATTTACACTTGTTCAAAAACAACATCCAGATCATCTGCAGCATCACTAGTCCTCATTAATCACCAAAATCACCATTAATCACCAAAGGTGTTTGGTAGTTCTCTCCATATTGTGGGAAGTGGAGACACTACTCTTACAATGGAGTGGCAGCCAGTGAGGCCTGTCAAGTCAAGCTAATAGGTGGAGTGATCATTACCACAGAACTGCTACTGGCAAGGGCAGCCAAGATGGGTCCAGTGATCCCTTTTTATTCTCCCAATTGTTTGTGCAGGGAGGCTGGGATAAGGGTATTCAGGTTTGAGCCTAGGAAAGCGAGTAAAAGTTTTGCTAAATGATTTTCAAAGGTTATGTTTAATTTTAGTTTCAATAAAGTCCCTCAAGGAAGGTGCCTTGATGCTGGTGAAGGGCTCTTGATCCAAGGAATTTAACCTATCCTCCCTTTCCATGGACTGAACCTGATTGCTTCCCATTTCTGAAGACCTGTATAACCCTTATGGGTTTAGAATTTCCCCTTTATTATAATAATACAAACCTCCTATACTTAAACTGTTATATTTAAATAGTAAAAGTTATTACCAACCTCATATAACACATTGAACCCCAAAGAACAAGCACCAGTATTGCATACCTACTGCATGTTCGTGTTCCTGCATCTACCCTCCTTTCAACCAGGTCCTCCACACTACATTTCTACCATCATTATTATCTTCAGAAAACACTAAACCAACATGGGTCATTCACTGATGTTAAAAGGCACAAGAGTGGAGGATGAAACCCAAGGGCAAAAACAGGAAGTCACTATTGGTATAACAAATAGTTTCATTTTGAGAAGTCATGGTGAATTTACATTACAGGTAGACCCTCTGGGTCTGGCAGACCTTCAAGTATATAGCTGACAAGACTATTTGTTTGGAAGGCTGAGTTTAGACAGTACCTGCTGCTGCTGCTCTACTTAGGATCACAGAACAGCCTCTTCAATGCATCACATGACTCGCTTATTATATATACCATTTCTTTAAATTATAGTAAGAAATTTAGTTTAAAATAGTTTGAGCTGATACGTGAATTTTGATAATTCACAATAATACCATAAATTAACTCATTAATAGTACAGAAAATGCCATAACCTGCCTTGGGTGGAGCAGCAGTCATAATATTCACAAAAAAAGCACTAAACCAACATTCACAAATGGGGCATTTAAATAAAGTATGAGAGCTAAAGACCCCTGAAATTCCATATGAAAAACAGGTAAGAAATCCAAATTACAAAAGTGACTTTTAATGCTAGGAATGATCATACATCATGACATGTAACTTTCGTTCCCAGTGTAGAAAACTTGTACATGATACTTCATTCTATTCAATGTATTCTAATTATACTCCCCCCCTCTACACTGTTAGTAATTTTGAAGCAGGAATCTTTCAAAATCAAGTGTTCAATGGGTATGGCAGACATTCCCAACAATATACACCTTGCATTCTCAATCATAAAAAGAATTTTTTTTTCATATTATAAATTACTGCATACCCACTGTACACATGCTAACTTGTGTAGGGTGTCAATTTGGGCAAAGCATGAGAATAAATTTGAGATAATTTTAATTTCGTGTGTATAAAAAGGTCTAGCTGTGTGTCACTATCCTCCATATTCTTAGGATGGTACCTTGAAATTTAAATAAACTTTTTTAATGAATTAAACATGTTAAGATAACAAACTGGAGTACACCAAAATATTAAGAAAAAAATAAAAATGGCTAAGATTTGTCATGACAGATTCCACAAAAAATGACCATTTATCCTTTGCTTAGAGAACAATATTTAAATATATACTTAAATGAGAACAGCAACGTCTAAAATCAATCTATCTTATAACTAGCAAAGGTAATCTGATCAAGTGAACCATTGAGACCATTCCTATTTATGACCGATAACGCTTGGGGCAATATTTGTCTTGGAACTCCGGAGCCGCCGCTATAGCCTGCCTCACTCATCCGCTTCTCCGTCCTCTGTTTAAAGAAAAAGTTTTAATATGTTAATTACAAAGAGCTTAGTTATTTTATATTATAATTATTACAATCAAAACTAAGCATTAAACCCACAAGGGTCATACAGCACTCCAGTAAATTTATAATTTTCCAAAATGATATAAGTGCAGAGATCTCATGATGTTTTCTAAAGGCTTGGGTCCCTGGGAAACATGATTAAATTTCTTAAGATAGGGTACTACTAAAGTATAAATTATATTAAAAAGTCAAAATTAAGTAAAGAATGACAATGACAACATGCATTTGCACATTCATCATCTGCCCATTTTCTGCATGAGATGGGAAGGTCATTGTCCAGAAAGGATGGAAAATACGGAAAAGATATCAGCAGATTGTGCAAACTGGTGGAACTGCCCTCTTGTCAAGCAGGACAGGTAAAGTTTATTGTGTAGCACGGAAATGAAAGGCTATTCTACTTGATGCTCTGTACAGCAGGAACTAACATTCAATAACTAGATGAATTTTTTTTTTTTTTCCAACAAGTCGGCCGTCTCCCACCGAGGCAGGGTGACCCAAAAAAGAAAGAAAATCCCCAAAAAGAAAATACTTTCATCATTCAACACTTTCACCACACTCACACATTATCACTGTTTTTGCAGAGGTGCTCAGAATACAACAGTTTAGAAGCATACACATATAAAGATACACAACATATCCCTCCAAACTGCCAATATCCCAAACCCTCCTTTAAAGTGCAGGCATTGTACTTCCCATTTCCAGGACTCGGTTCCGACTATATGAAAATAACCGGTTTCCCTGAATCCCTTCACTAAATATTACCCTGCTCACACTCCAACAGATCTTACATTATTACAAGACCTCAAAAATAAAATCTTAAGTTGAAAAAGAGCAATATTATTAAAAACAATCTTTATGAGGGATGGATTCCTGAAAAATGGTAAAAATCTATTATGAAATACTGAGGATATTATAACATGGCAGTACCACCCTCCCCAATAACAGACCTGCACCCCTCAAGGAAGGTTCCTTGATGTTGGTGAGGGGCTCTTGATTTAGGGAATTGGATCTGTGCTCCAGTTCCCCGTATTAAGCCTGAATGCCTTCCACATCCCCCCCCAGGCGCTGTATAATCCTCCGGGTTTAGCGCTTCCCCCTTGATTATAATAATAATAATAACAGACCTGCAAGTGACCAGAATAATACTATATCTGTACAGCGGTAGAGCTTACGGCTCGGTCAAAAATACAGAGGTTTGATTGCCGGGCTAGGTGAACATGCACATTCATCTCCTCACACCTGCTACCTCCATTTTCCCAGCAGTAAACAGGTATCATATCTCATGGGTTATAAGACACGGTACACAAATAACCCGCACATAAAAGAGAGAAGCTTACGACGACATTTCGGTCCGACTTGGACCATTTACAAAGTCACACTAACCAGAAGTGGAGCAGGATGGCTATATATAGGCAGGAAGAGGTGGTGGTAGTAGTAGTAGTAGTGGTACAAGAATGGTAAATAATACCGACAAGATGTACTACTACTACTACTACCACCACCTCTTCCTGCCTATATATAGCCATCCTGCTCCACTTCTGGTTAGTGTGACTTTGTCAATGGTCCAAGTCGGACCGAAACGTCGTCGTAAGCTTCTCTCTTTTATGTGCGGGTTATTTGTGTATCGTTCCAGTCACGGTATTGTGCCTTTTTTTGTTATTTATAAGACACGGCTTACAAGACTTGTTTTAGTTTCAATGGCTTGGCATAGGACATAACTGGGAGAGCTACAGCCCACCCCAGACCCCAGTTTACAGGATGCAGGGTGGTTTTTGGAGACATTTTATGGGGAAAAAAAAAAAGTGTCTAATAAGCTGCAAAATACAGTTTATATTCAGATGTAAATCAATTGTTTTGAGTTACATCCTAGGGTGGTAATACAGAATGAGGAATTATACTGATAAAGTAGTGGAGGCAGACTTCATACATAGTTTTAAGAATAGGTACGACTGGGCCCATAAAGCTACAAGTAAATCTGGTAAGTGACAAGTTGAGAGCTGGGGCCAGGAGCTAAGCCTCAACTCCTGCAACTACATACAGGCAAATGCAAAAACTGGATAGTGTTACTAATTTCAAGATTTTTAAATCTGATGCCATGCAACCTGGCACCACCTGGGTGCCAATTTCCTTCTCAATACCTTTTAACCACTTTATTCATCCACATGTTCATGGAACACTTCAGGCTGGTTTTACTACTAACCAGGTGTGAAAATATAGAGAAACAATTAACAGTCTATATACATGTATTAGTGCCCACATTCTGAAGAAGGGGTGGGGGTCTTGCCATCAGGAGGGTCACTTGAACCATGATGTCAGAAAACTTCTGGCACAACAGCTATTGAATGAATGTTGGTGACTGTGTTTCCTTATTTTTGGGGTTATCCTGCCTCAGTGGGAGAGGGCTATGTGTTATAAAAATACTATACTGATGCTTCTAAAATCCTGTCTGTAGCTTACCTTCTCCTGGTGCTTCCTCTTCTTCCTCTTCCTCCACACCTTCTTCATCTACTTCTTCAATTTCTTCTTCAACCACTACTACATTGTCATCCACTTCCTCATCCTCCAGCTCTTCTTCATCATCATCCCCTTCACCATTTTCTACCTCAATGTCGGGTACTAGGAAATACTGCAGAGGATTTGGCCACATATCATCCTTGATAACCTGATAACATTGATGCAATAACTTATTAATCCATTATTCTTTACATGTTCATGGTTCTCAGCATCAGCTAAAAAAAAAAAAAAAAGAGAGAGAGAGAAACAAGAAAGTAAAGATAGTGTATACAGAATGTCAACAGAAGTTTATAAGATCTACCTGTCACCTTACATGTTCATTACAAACAAGGAAAAGACCAACAATCCTGCCAGTGTAAAACACGGACATTTGGAACCCGTATGACAACAGCAGAACCTTCCTTGCTGTTGGCCGTATTTCCTCAGATCTAACTATAAACTACAAAATCACATTATAGCATGTATGTATGTACGTATGAACAAGGAGGCTTTACAAAGAGTAGGCGATACATAAACTGTTTACATGGAAACATATTTAGTAAGGGTATGGAAGTTTTTGTTGCATTTTGGATAGGAGGTAAGTAGGTTTGATCTAAGAAGATGGCAGCTCCAATTCCTTGGATCCAGAGGAATTTCCCCCTGAATGGATATACAAGTTGGGACATGATTAAGGTGACAAATGAAAATTTGATGCAACTTGAGACAATGTGCAACATGCATATAACTGCTAGACAAGACATGACTGTTGCTGCACAGTATTTGCAACTAAAGATTATTGCTATTTTTAAGGGAAAGTGCTTAATGCAGAGGATAAAACAGAATCTTGAGGAATGGGAGGCAACCAGGTTCAATCCAAAAAAGGGAAGGGCAAGCCAAATTCCTTGGATCAAAAGCAGCTCACCAGCATCAATAATCTCCCTTGTGAGAACAGAAGAGTGTGAGCAGAAATAGACTTTTTTTTTATTATCACATCGGCTGTTTCCCACCACAGCTCAGCTATCAAAACTTTGGAGTCCAGTCCCTGGACCAATTATGTACCTCTGTAATCTTTTGACTACCGCCCACAGGATGGGTATGGGGTGCATAATAAACATATTAAACTAACTAAACCACCAAGGGAGGCGGACGCTAACCCAAAAAAGAAGAAACACTTTCATCGTTCATGCTAATTTTCGCTGACAACACCAGTCGCTCTTTTACATAGCTTCTGATATACACATACGTACAGTACATTATGCATCATCATGCAAACACAAGCTTAATTAATGACAAATGGTTAATTACATGTGTAATAACATACCTCTGCAATTTCATCAGCTGATGGGTCTCCGTGATCAGAAAACCAAGAGAAGAATGATCGAAGTTCCAGAGGACGTTTCCGGCCTGTCCCGCCTTTTTCCCCTTGCTGCATCCTCTGTCGAAATCGTTCTACCAGATTGTGTCCTTCTTTCCATTTGATGTCTGTAGACTGTGATGCAGGATCACCTGGTAAACAATGAACTCTTATGAAAACAACTGTGGAAATGATACCAAGAGGAACCTCACCTCCCTTTCTATCAATCATCATTCTCAAAATTAATTAATAAAAAATCTAAAAATGCAGAACCTAAAAGTACAATTTGAAATGGCAATTCAAATATTTTTTAAACAAATGACAATGGACTCGCATGAGCATCCTCAACTCCCCATCACAATTTTTTAAGAATTGTCATAAGTGCTCTTTAACATCGAGTTTGGTTCAACATAAAACTTGTACATTACATACATATAGTTAACAAACATTAAGCAATAATTCAGACTGCTTTAACTGATGGCTAAAATGCTAATTTGCATCAATAAAATGTCTAATTATGCACCACACATAATAACTGAAATATCTTTTGGCCTGTAATATATTTGCATCCCATATTTTCCCACCTCCTTGTATAATAAGAATATACTGCAGTGTAACAAAGAATGTTATTCATATTTATTTTGTCAAATTTATTATGAAGAGAGAAAGCAAACATGTCATGGTCTAATGAAATGATAAAAGGTGTAAATACATTCTGTATGAGCGTTAGATAGGAGTGAGTGAAGCCAAGTGGTTTTCTAATGAATGTGCTGTTGGAGTATGAGTTGGGTAACTTTTATGAAGGAGTTCAGGGAATATTGGTTAGCCAGACTTGAATCCTGGAGGTGGGCAGGGCAGTGCCTGCACTCTGAAGGAGGGTTAGAAATGTTGCAGTCAAGAGGATAATCTGACTGTGATATGAGCACTCTTCTCAAAAGATGGCAATTAAATGATTGATGGTGAATGTGTTTCCTTCTTAGAGTTGCTGTACGTTGGCTGGCTGGAGACAGCCACTGAGTTAATAAAAAAGTATTTCCCAGTACAGAGAGATGACATTTTAATACATCCTTGAAAATTTAAAAGCTCCTAATATAATTTAATTTCATAAGGAATATACATCAGCAGAATTATTAAGTCTAAGTAAACCCCACATTAAAATTCTCATTAAATGTTTATTTTTTACTTAGGTTTCTATTCAAAACCTGAAGTGCTCTTAAACATGAACTAAAATAATATTTACTAAACATACCTGTCGAGCCAAGGTGAAATTCTTTTGTAAGAACTTCGTTTTCAAAGTACGGATTTTCATCAAAATGAAATTTAATTCTGAAAAATAAAAAAAATCAGTGTGCTTTATATTACAATACTTGACAATAATCAGATACAAATCACGACAAAAAACCCACTATATATGTACTTGCTGGTAGGAGGAGGAGGATGTCTTTCACAGAAAAATGACAAAATTTGTAGGTTTCCAGGTAAATCATTGAAAGATTTCTGGGATTTAAAAATTGGGATCAATATTGTGTATGTAATTCTGTAAGATGTCAAATATCTTTCAATGTTTCATTATTGGTCATCCTCACCTTGTGTTTATTTTCTAATGACATATCAGATCACATATTAAAAACTGGTATAGTGATAATGACAGTATCACTGACAGTATTACTATGGTATAGTGATACTGATAGTATCACAAGGCCTGGTCTCAGACTGAGCCGCGGGGGACGTTGACCCCCGAAACCCTCTCCAGGTATAATATCTTTTTCCACAGATTACATATAGCATTGCTGGTAAAAATTATGAATCGACAGAGATGAATACAAAAGAAAACATTTTATATATTGATGTGTAATCCTTCCAAACTGGTCTGAGTACAACACTGAAAACAAATAAAAAACATGAAATTCAAGATGTGAAAATCGGCAATTTATAAAAAGTAGAACTGCTAAGATAATGTGAGATGACAGAGAAGACTTCAGATGAGGGGCACAGCAAGTTAAGAGGGGTAAGTCCCTTAATGGAAAACAGAAGCAAGATTATATAAATACAGTGGACTCCCGCTTTACGATCAGCTCCCAATGCGACCAATTATGTAAGTGCGTTTGTACGTGTATGTTTGGGGGTCTGAAATGGACTAATCTAATTCACAATATTCCTTATGGGACCAAATTCGTTCAGTAATGGCACCTGAACATACTTCTGGAATGAAATAATATCTCTCTCTTAAGCCGGGGGTCCACTGTATTAATTAGTACTAATATACAGTGGTCAATAACACACAAACCCATGTAAAGACACTAAAACAAGATGAGTATTGTGCTGTACGCATTGGTTTAAATGTGATTTCCTTCAACAACGGGGTTTCAATGTGAGGTTGAAATATTTTATACTCATCTTAACTTCTGATTTACTGCCTCCAGGCCAATCAAAATTAGAGTTAGATATAACTGCCTGGAGTATTTTCTGTTATATTAACTTAAGATTACATAAATATGAGAGTACAAACGATTTAAGCAATAATTATAAAACTGAAAAATTATGTTTTAAATAAAAGGATCAAGACACATTTTAAAAACTAAAGCAAAATATTAAACTATGTGATACTAGAATGTTAATGTAATAAGGAATATGGTCCACCAATCATGAGTAAAGTCTATTTGTCTTAAAATAATTCACACACATTTATTTAATTTTTAAAATGCCATCTGGATACGTACATTAACATTGGATCCAGATGTCTGTGTGGAGAAAATGGTTTTAAGACTTTGGTTCAATTAATAAAAAATAATCTTCAAAGGGAATCCTTTACATATTACTTCTGTAAATTGAACATTTACAAAATACAATCCGGGCTAATCATATGCATATATACTTTTTTTTAGATTCAGAACATTAATATACTTAACACACCTGTAGCCTGACTTAATATCATCAAACTCCTCTACATCTAATTTGGTCAAGTAATGTAGGCATTCTTCCTCTTCTTCTTCAAGTATAGCAGAAATCTGAGGGTGATTAACAAACTGGACACAAGTTAAGAAAAATTCTTCACATTTAATGGCCAAAAGCACTTAGACGTATATATAGCCTCCTGATGATGTGCCTCAATAAGGACAGAATTGTGCTACCATGAAATTATTTCCATTATAAAATACTACACGAGGCCTGGTCATGGACCGGGCTGTGGGGGCGCTGACCCCAAGAACACTCTCCAGGTATACAGCATCTTTTGCAGAGTACAGAAGGACCCCCATATCTGCGGGGGACATGTTCTAAGGACCTGCCATGCATACCAAAACCGTGGATAGTAGTGGTCCTTATATGTGTCATTTTTCATTTACATACATACTCATTATAAAGTTTTGAGGTGGTCAGTCCCTCAGCCTAGAAGAGTTTTGCTCTGGAACAATGTTCCAGACAATGGAGCAAAACTCTTCTCCAAGCTGACAGACTGACCACCTCAGGACCACGTCCTTAAGGGTGATGGACTGATTACATTGTCTCTATTGCTTCTGCTCACTCTCTTGTACTCGACTGAAGAAGCCTACTGGGTAGGTGAAACGTTGCAAAATAAAGATACTAACTGTTGAATATGTGTCTTACTAATCATTCTGTTGGTACTAAATACCATTTTTATATTCAACAAGATATTACAAGGACCACAATGGAAATAAGGCACTTTGACTTTTCTGTGTTATACAGGTAATTTACATGTTAAACTATGTATGATAATTGTACTTATGTATACATGTACATAAAAAAATTTACCTATTTATTAAAGTTTTAATAGCTACATGTCTAACCATCACAGTGTCTCCCTGTCTAGTGGTACCTTGAAGCTAGTGAGAGGCTCCTGATACAAGGAACTGAGCCTTTCTTCTTCTTCCTTGGAGCAAACCTGATAGCCTCCTATGCACAGGCACTTTATGTCTCCTGTGGTTAGTACATAAGAACATAAGAAAATAGGAACACTGCAGCAGGCCCATACTAGTACCTAGTCTTCTCAAACCCAAACTCACTTAACAAAAATATTTGCCACAACCCATTTTCAATGTTACCCAAAGAATAACACAGGTACTTTATAGCCCTCATAGGTTTAGTGGTTACTGTTAAACATTATACTGTCATAACTAAGCGCTAAACCCACTAGGGTCACAGAGTGCAGCATAAATGTGTGGTCTGTGATACTGCTGGTACCAGCAATATTAGTAGTGTATTAATATTGGCAGAATTACCAACAATATGTTAGGTAAGAGGACACAAGTGCAACTAATGTGGCATTAATTACTGTGGCAACGTTTTGCTCTCCAGGAACATTATTATTATTATTATTATTATAATAATCAAGGGGAAGCGCTAAACCTGGAGGATTATACAGCACATGGGGGGGGGGGATGTGGAAGGCATACAGGCGTAATTCGGGGAACTGGAGCACAGATCCAATTCCCTAAATCAAGAGCCCCTCACCAACATCAAGGAACCTTCCTTGAGGGGTCTCCAGGAACACTGTTAAGGCTTGATAAAGCTCCTGGAGAGCGAAACGTTGCCACAATAAAATGTCACAATAGTTGCACTTGTGTCTTTTTACTTAATATTTGTGGTGTCATTGACGTAACATTAAGGTGTAACAGAGGAATATAATAATATAACAGTGTGATTATTGATACAGTTGTTACTAGCAACATTAAATATTAAAATAATAATAATATAAGTGTCGTTACTGGGGTTACTAGTAACAATAAGATGTAAAAGATGAATATAAGTGTGGTCACTGATATAATGAAGAATATAAGTGTGATTACTGATATAATGAAGAATATAAGTGTGGTCACTGATATAATGAAGAATATAAGTGTGATTACTGATATAATGAAGAATATAAGTGTGATTACTGATATAATGAAGAATATAAGTGTGATTATTGATATAATGAAGAATATAAGTGTGATTATTGATACAATTGTTAGTATCAGTATGACTGATACAGTTAGTATCACTGATACAGTTAGTATCACTGATACAGTTAGTATCACTGATACAGTTAGTATCACTGATACAGTTAGTATCACTGATACAGTTAGTATCACTGATACAGTTAGTATCACTGATACAGTTAGTATCACTGATACAGTTAGTATCACTGATACAGTTAGTATCACTGATACAGTTAGTATCACTGATACAGTTAGTATCACTGATACAGTTAGTATCACTGATACAGTTAGTATCACTGATACAGTTAGTATCACTGATACAGTTAGCATCACTGATACAGTTAGTATCACTGATACAGTTAGTATCACTGATACAGTTAGTATCAGTACCACTGATACTATCAGTACCACTGATACTATCAGTACCACTGATACTATCAGTACCACTGATACTATCAGTATCACTGATACTATCAGTACCACTGATACTACCAGTATCACTGATACTATCAGTACCACTGATACTATCAGCACCACTGATACTACCAGTATCACTGATACAGTTAGTATCACTGATACAATTAGTATCACTGATACTATCAGTATCACTGATACAGTATCAGTACCACTGATACTATCAGTACCACTGATACCATCAGTACCACTGATACTATCAGTACCACTGATACTATCAGCACCACTGATACTACCAGTATCACTGATACAGTGACATGCCCATGCACTCTGCCCCAGGGCCAGACTCATGGAACTCTGTGTTCATCAAGAACTGCAAGAAGCCCCTATCACGAGCCTTTTCCATCCTATGGAGAGGGAGCATGGACACGGGGGTCGTCCCTCAGTTACTAAAAACAACAGACATAGCCCCACTCCACAAAGGGGGCAGTAAAGCAACAGCAAAGAACTACAGACCAATAGCACTAACATCCCATATCATAAAAATCTTTGAAAGGGTCCTAAGAAGCAAGATCACCACCCATCTAGAAACCCATCAGTTACACAACCCAGGGCAACATGGGTTTAGAACAGGTCGCTCCTGTCTGTCTCAACTACTGGATCACTACGAAAAGGTCCTAAATGCACTAGAAGACAAAAAGAATGCAGATGTAATATATACAGACTTTGCAAAAGCCTTCGACAAGTGTGACCATGGCGTAATAGCGCACAAAATGCGCGCTAAAGGAATAACAGGAAAAGTCGGTCGATGGATCTATAATTTCCTCACTAACAGAACACAGAGAGGTAGTCGTCAACAGAGTAAAGTCCGAGGCAGCTACGGTGAAAAGCTCTGTCCCACAAGGCACAGTACTAGCTCCCATCTTGTTCCTCATCCTCATATCCGACATAGACAAGGATGTCAGCCACAGCACCGTGTCTTCCTTTGCAGATGACACCCGAATCTGCATGACAGTGTTTTCCCATTGCAGACACTGAAAGGCTCCAGGCGGACATCAACCAAATCTTTCAGTGGGCTGCAGAAAACAATATGAAGTTCAACGATGAGAAATTTCAATTACTCAGATATGGTAAACATGAGGAAATTAAATCTTCATCAGAGTACAAAACAAATTCTGGCCACAAAATAGAGCGAAACACCAACGTCAAAGCCCTAGGAGTGATTATGTCGGAGGATCTCACCTTCAAGGACCATAACATTGTATCAATCGCATCTGCTAGAAAAATGACAGGATGGATAATGAGAACCTTCAAAACTAGGGAGGCCAAGCCCATGATGACACTCTTCAGGTCACTTGTTCTATCTAGGCTGGAATATTGCTGCACTCTAACAGCACCTTTCAAGGCAGGTGAAATTGCCGACCTAGAAAATGTACAGAGAACTTTCACGGCGCGCATAAACGGAGATAAAACACCTCAATTACTGGGGGCGCTTGAGGTTTCTAAACCTGTATTCCCTGGAACGCAGGAGGGAGAGATACATGATTATATACACCTGGAAAATCCTAGAGGGACTAGTACCAAACTTGCACACGAAAATCACTCACTACGAAAGCAAAAGACTTGGCAGACGATGCACCATCCCCCCAATGAAAAGCAGGGGTGTCACTAGCACGTTAAGAGACCATACAATAAGTGTCAGGGGCCCGAGACTGTTCAACTGCCTCCCAGCACACATAAGGGGGATTACCAACAGACCCCTGGCAGTCTTCAAGCTGGCACTGGACAAGCAACTAAAGTCAGTTCCTGATCAGCCGGGCTGTGGCTCGTACGTTGGTTTGCGTGCAGCCAGCAGCAACAGCCTGGTTGATCAGGCGCTGATCCACCAGGAGGCCTGGTCACAGACCGGGCCGCGGGGGCGTTGACCCCCGAAACTCTCTCCAGGTAAACTCCAGGTAAACCACTGATACTATCAGTACCACTGATACTATCAGTACCACTGATACAGTATCAGTACCACTGATACAGTATCAGTACCACTGATACTATCAGTTTCCACTGATACCATCAGTACCACTGATACCATCAGTACCACTGAGTACTATCAGTACCACTGATACCATCAGTACCACTGATACCATCAGTACCACTGATACTATCAGTACCACTGATACCATCAGTACCACTGATACCATCAGTACCACTGATACTATCAGTACCACTGATACCATCAGTACCACTGATACCATCAGTACCACTGATACTATCAGTACCACTGATACCATCAGTACCACTGATACTATCAGTACCACTGATACTATCAGCACCACTGATACAGTTAATATCACTGATACTATCAGTACCACTGATACCATCAGTACCACTGATACTATCAGTGCCACTGATACTATCAGTACCACTGATACTATTAGTACCACTGATACTATCAGTACCACTGATACTATCAGTACCACTGATACAGTTAGTATCACTGATACCATCAGTACCACTGATACTATCAGTACCACTGATACTATCAGTACCACTGATACTATCAGTACCACTGATACTATCAGTATCACTGATACAGTATCAGTACCACTGATACTATCAGTACCACTGATACTATCAGTACCAATGATACCATCAGTACAACTGATACTATCAGTACCACTGATACAGTATCAGTACCACTGATACTATCAGTACCACTGATACCATCAGTACCACTGATACTATCAGTACCACTGATACTATCAGTACCACTGATATTATCAGTACCACTGTTACTATCAGTACCACTGATACTATCAGTACCACTGAATACCATCAGTACCACTGATTACTATCAGTACCATGATATTATCAGTACCACTGATATTATCAGTACCACTGATACAGTATCAGTACCACTGATACAGTCAGTATCAGTACCACTGATACTATCAGTACCACTGATACTATCAGTACCACTGATATCAGTACCACTGATATTTATCAGTTTCCACTGATACAGTATCAGTACCACTGATACAGTCAGTATCAGTACCACTGATACTATCAGTACCACTGATACTATCAGTACCACTGATATTATCAGTACCACTGATATTATCAGTACCACTGATACAGTATCAGTACCACTGATACAGTCAGTATCAGTACCACTGATATTATCAGTACCACTGATATTATCAGTACCACTGATACAGTCAGTATCAGTACCACTGATACTATCAGTACCACTGATACTATCAGTACCACTGATACTATCAGTACCACTGATACCATCAGTACCACTGATACTATCAGTACCACTGATACTATCAGTACCACTGATACTATCAGTACCACTGATACCATCAGTACCACTGATACTATCAGTACCACTGATACCATCAGTACCACTGATACTATCAGTACCACTGATACTATCAGTACCACTGATACCATCAGTACCACTGATACCATCAGTACCACTGATACTATCAGTACCACTGATACTATCAGCACCACTGACACCATCAGTACCACTGATACCACCAGTACCACTGACACCACTAATACCACCAGTACCACTGATACCACAATAAACATAAAAGGATACAGCAGTCACCCAGAAGTTAGGAATCCTCTGGATAATTTTGCTTCGGTTCTCAAAATTTGGTTTTCTTAGTTTGTTATATTTTTGTTCCACCTTCAGGATCTCCTCACTGGCTTTCTCATTAAGCTGATCTATTTCGTTCTGACACGAGTCTATCTCCTCCAGGGCCTTCTGTGTCTCTGGGTCATATTCCCGGGTCTCGTGAACCTCCTCTGTGGGGTCTAGCTTTTTTATTTTGGCCGGAGAGGCGCCGGATTCTGACATTTTGTGAAATATGGAGGACCCAGTCTGGCACGAGGGTATGGTAACACACGCTTAATTCTTGTTATTTGTGAGGTTTTTAAGGGCCACAGGCGGCCTCTGCCCTTCCTGCCACTCTCAGGGCACGTTATAGTGCCCAGGGGTGGGCGGAGAGGGTCAAGGGTACGATAAAAAGGGGTAAAATATGGAGGTAACGGTGGTAGACCCGGGTAAGAGAGTGTAAACACAACAAGACTGTGCAGCTTCCCGGCCAAAATGGACGCCTCTATCCTCATTGGTCGTCCCCTGGGCCAATCACGGCGACCAGCTGGCTGCTAGCCAATCGTAGCGCTTGGCGCTCCCCAGTCAGCCAATCACGCGCCAGGGTGTACGCTGCCCGCCACGGCTATTCATTCTACTTTCTGATGGCGGGAAAACTTGTAGATTCGAAATTCTGTATTCGCTTGTGGCCTCGAGGGAGGTGTCTTGATGATGAGGGGCTCTTGATCCTAGGAGATGGATCTATCCTCTCTTTCCTTGGATCAAACCTAATTGTTTCCCATTTACCCGGGAGATGTATTACTCAAGGACCCCAATGGAAATAAATAAATTTGACCTCTTTCTTTCGGTTTTCCTGGGTAATTTACATGTTACCTATGTATGATAATTTGTGTTGCTGTATTTATGTGTACCTGTACCTAAATAAAATTATTTATTTATCCTGTGAATTTATATTTAGATTACTGTCCTATCACTGCATTTAAAAATGTACAATAATTAGAAAGACGATGGCTCCTGGCTCTGTCTCTCAGCTTATATTTTTTTTACAGTCATGGACAAGAAACACTAAACCCACTGGAGTCATGCATTATTATTATTATAATCAAAAAGGAGGGGTGTTAATGTTGCAGTTTAAAAACTGTAGTGTAAAGCACCCTTCTGGCAAGACAGTGATGGAGTGAATGATGGTGAAAGTTTTTCTTTTTCGGGCCACCCTGCCTTGGTGGGAATCAGCCAGTGTGATAATAATAATAATAATAATCAAAAAGAAGTGCTAAGCCACACGGGCTGTACATTATTATTATTAAAATCAAGGGGGAAGCGCTAAACCCGGAGGATTATACAGCGCCTGGGGGGGGGATGTGGAAGGCATTCAGGCTTAATTCGGGGAACTGGAGCACAGATCCAATTCCCTAAATCAAGAGCCCCTCACCAACATCAAGGAACCTTCCTTGAGGGGAACTCAAGGTTAAATAACTGATTACCTCAAACTACTACTGATCTTCAACAATTCTTCTCTGTATTGGACTGACGAAGCCACTGGTTGGCAAAACATTTCCACAGTAAAGATATCCAAGTGTTGCAGAAGTGATGAATGGTTTAGAAAACCGACAAGTTGAAGAATTGAGACACTTACGCAACACATGGGAATCTTTATTGAAGAAACGTTTCGCCACACAGTGGCTTCATCAGTCCAATACAAAGTATTATTATTATAATCAAGGGGGAAGCGCTAAACCCGGAGGATTATACAGCACCAATACAAAGTAGAAATGGGTAAGGAGAGTAGAAGTTTGAGGGACTGATTACCTCAAACTTCTCCTCTCCTTACCCATTTCTACTTTGTATTGGACTGATGAAGCCACTGTGTGGCAAAAAGTTTCTTCAATAAAGATTCCCATATGTTGCATAAGTGTCTAATTCATCATCATTGATACATAGGCTTCAGTACATAACAGCAAATTTCAAACCATGATTTTTGGGGGGCTCGTTCCACCACATTTTTTTCTCCTCACAATTACTTTGCTTTCTGCCAGCCAGATAGTCCGTATCCACTCGAGTAGTTTACCTCTTACAGTTTGTATAGCAGTAGTCTGTATGTCAAATGTTTTGTTAAATGAAGGAGAGTGGATTAACCTGCCTTCTCTCCCCTGCTTCCTTTGTCACTCATTATTATAATCATGACTAAGCACTAAACCCACAAGGGTCATTAAACTTGAGATTCAGAAATTTCATCATGAGGGAGCACTAAATCCATAGGGATTACACAGTGCCTGTGTGGGGGGAAAGGCATTCAGGCTTAATTCATGGAATTGGACCACAGATCCAATTCCCTAAATCAAGAGCCCATCACCATCAAAATTCATGGGATGTTTAATGCTATGTTAATTGCTTCTTATACATCTTACAAGTTGCTCAACTATTCTCATCCATTATTGGGGTTGTTTGATCTGAGGAAGGGGAGGATACCTTCAGTCCATCGTGTCCTTGAGGGAGATTTCTTGATGCTGATCCGAGGGCTCTTTATCCAAAAACTGAATATGATTGCCACTTCCCCCACTTAATGTTGAAACTGATAGCTTCCTATTCTCCAAAGTGCTGTATGACCCTTACAAGTTTAGTGCTTGCCCATGAATGTAATAATTCAAGTCCCTGAAATAGCCTTTTATCAACATCAAGGCACACTCTTCAAGGGCCATGGTATTGTTAGCTGCATTATTACTGAAATGTTTAAGTCCCACTGCTGCTTTTTCTATAAAAATTCATGTATAATAGAGCCTCCACATCATTAATATATTCATCAGGAAGTGCTAAACCCATAGGGGTAACACAGCACCTGGGTAAATGGTAAGCAAATCAGGTTTGACTATAGGAAATGGAGGTTAAGTAAAATTTCGTGAATCAAGAGCCCCTGATTAGTGTCAAGGAGCTTCCCTTGAAGGGCAATATTAAGAAAAAATTTCTCTGACAATTTACAATTAAATTTCCTAAGCTTTTTAGAAATTGTTCACTTTAGCTGACAAATTAAAAGAAATTTGGATAACTAATTACTACTTACAATCAAAACTATGCTAAACCCACAACGAAATATTGCAATGCATTTTGAAAAATCTTTTATTACTAAAAAAATCTATTACAGTTATAGAAACCATTGTTTAGTCTGTTTTTCCTCTGAAGGTTAAATTGACAAGTACTGTATTAACATACTAATATTTTATTCCATATTTACACTTTGTGATTTACACATCACGAATAGTTCAAACATCTTAAAACTTAACAATCGCAAAACGCGGGAGGTGTAAAAATAGAGAAGATACACACAGCGAATAAACCAGAAGTTACCTTACTTAGGAAGCTGCAGAAATAAACTAAACCAAAACTAAAATATATATAAAATAAATGTAGATATTATATTTATACTAGTACATTCATAAAATATAATCTGAAAATATTTTGTAACACTAGACTTGTCAGCATTTATGCTACAATAACAAAAAGCTTATCTGTTAAGACTATCCACAAATATAGTTCTGTACACTACAAATGAGACGGAAAATAGGATGACTTTGAAGAATAAATATCAGGACATCACACAATGGGACATCTCTGCAGCCCCTAAGGATGCTCTGAGGAAAAAAATAGCAAAATTCTTATCTAACAATATTTGCACATGGGTAAATACCAAAAACAAGACATAAATTTCAGGTGAGATCATATTTAACATACACATAAGAAATATACAAAAATATACAAAGGAAATAGAATACATCCATCCGAATAAATAAGAAACAATTATAGATGTAAAATCAATAAGAAACATAGATGTAAAATCAATATACCATGATGTGTAAACTTCCTAACCTCATCGTGCCGTGAACACTGGTAAACACTGAGGATGTAATGACAAAGGTGGAATGCTGAGACTATTTTTTTCATTTTTTTATTAGTTTTTGATTGGTAAATCTCTAAAGTTGACTGATGTGTTGTACTACCAAGGCATAATACCAGCTCAGATTCATATACTGTATTTCAGTTTCATGGGCTGATATACAATAAAGTACAAAGAATATTTCTACCAGTAATTTTCACTGTCTTGTAATTAATGCACGCTACTTGAGACTTACAAACTAGATTTTGGTTCCCAGGCATCTCAATAAAAATTTGTCTTTGATGATTTGTTATACAGTGGACCCTCGACCAACGTTGGCATCGACTAACGTTAAATTCGACCAACGATACGTTAACGCTAACATGTTGCCTCGACTAACGTTACAAAAACTCGACTAACGATAATCGTTCTCGGGTACCAATTAATATCGTTAGTCGAGGGTCTACTGTACTTGTAAAGATCTATAGACCACATTTTATCTCACCATTCATCAGTTCACGGAGGTACAACCACCTGAGTTACCAGGAAAGACTCATGACCGTGAAAACTTGGTTCGCTGAAGAGAAAGGGAGGGTTACATAATCATGTACATCTGTTACATAATCACATTCATCTGCTACCCGAGGAATCACCGTGTACCATAATTACAGTACATACACCTCTCATTTCACTGTATTGTATTTCATCATGCGCTAAACCCACATGGGTCATTCAGCGCCTCGTTTCATGAATGGTCATGCTGCAAACTCTTGTGGCCTACATCTTGTTACAAGTATTTGCAAATTAGTAGAGAGAAAAAATTTGCAGAGCATATCACCAATAACCCAAACTCAGGTGAGGACCCTCTCCCAAGTGTGGCTTAGTTGTGATTACTCTTACCAGAGCAAGTCTTTATTTTGACAACATTTTGCTCAATGCCAAGTGAAACAACATTAAAAACTCATTCTGCATTCTTTCTCTCTTTTTACCACATCTGTTAATACCATTCCTCAGTCAGATTCACAATTAAGATGCCCTGACACATGCTATGCTCCCTTTATTAACCACATAAGAAGTGAGGTCTCTGAACCTAAGATGCTTTATACACTACCAGCTGCAATCAAGAACACTTGTGAATGACCTACTAAAATCTTAGCTTGTCCTTAATAATCAAGTTGGTAGTAATGTTTGATAACCTTACGTGCCAAAATACACGGCATATTCGGCAAGGCTACAGGATTATCAGCTTTGATGTAAATAATGCTAGTTTTTGATACTAAGCTAAGCCATCTCAACTGGTAAAAATGTGAATCAACCCAGCCACTGATATAAGTAAGAAAATTGTCCTTGAGCCGCAAAAATTCTGCAGCAGCATTATCTAAGAATTTTTTTTTACCATAAACAATAGTGTTGTTATAATTTACAATCCACGAAACACATTGTCATTACAAAACCTGATTGATTCAAATGACAATACCTATCACCTTGAAAGTCTAGTAACAATTTGACAATTAACTGCACATTAACATATGGAATACATACAAGAAGCAAAATTTCTACGAAGTAAAGGTGTTATGTAAGAATGAACAGGATTATAACATCTGATTTAGCTTATATAACATGTGAAGTGGAATTCA